CATCCCCAAGATAAATGTCAATAAGCTGAGTTACTGACAGGCATTGTTGACCCCCAAGGGATGCATTCGAATGATTGGCAGTCACTTGGACTGGTGACAGACAGGACCAGTGACAATGCTGGTACTGTAATTTGCAAAAGAGAAAAAGCAAGTAGCAGTGTCAATTCAGAATGCTATGGAATAGAATATAAACAAGATACATGCTTGGATCAACAACATACAATGTTAGTAAAAACAAAAGTCAGATATAAACATGTATTTATCAAAATCACATTAAAAAAAAATTTTTTATTGCTGCATTTACTTTTAAAATGTCGTTGACATACATTCATTCAAAAACATATTACTACATAATGCAGGGTTTTGTACTGTCGTGATGATGTTGACGTTGAGGGCAGGAGTAGAGATGCCCATGTGAGTGAGTAACCATGAGGCAAGAATAAATTTGCTTTGTTGAGTTATACTACTGTGATATCATTGTCTTTATATTGCTTTATAACTAAATTTTAAAATTTCAATGCATATATTGAAATTAGCTTTCTCATTTATCTATTCTGAATATGTTGTACCCCCTGTTTTTAAAATTCTGGATCTGCCCCTGCAGTGCTAAGCTGCCACAAAAAGCCGTTCAGAGAAAAACAAGGCTGAATATGTGTGCGGTCGTAAACGTAACCTTGTGTAATTGCGGGTAATGCGCTTATTCCTGGCCTCGCCTATTGGGTAACATTTTGGTTGGTCAGTTGTTAAGTTTGATTGATATCCAAGAAAGTATATTGACTTGGATTTTAAAGAGATTTTTCAGTTCAACAAAGCACAATGCGCACATTAAAATAAGCAGTAAACCCAACAAGGCAAATGTGTCCAATTCACTACAAGGTTGACTGTGTATTTCAGTATTTATTGGAACTCACTTTCAGATCAGTGGCACACACCTAGCAAGGTGGTGCGTCCATAAGATATACATAAAATGAACTAAATATAAAACAATCTTAAAATTAAAGAGAAAAGGATAAAAAAAACCCAACTTATTTACGGAACTGCAGTTGCTGTGCTCAATGCTGTAGCAGGACCTTCAAACAGTACGGGGACAGTATCAGGGTGGACCATTTTACCAGTAAATTCAAATACAGGTCTCACAAGTGGTCTTTAATTGGACCTATTTTGAAAATGTGGACCCACTCTTTGTACTAATGTTGTCCCAATAGGAAAATTGTGTGGGACTGTCCCAACTGTCTCAGATAGTTGAATACGGCTGTGGCTGTGATTCTCAATGAGGAAGCCAACTTATCCTATATACTTTTTTTTTTAAATAACACTTTTTATTTGAACACTGAGGCTGAAATTAATAAAAATATTTTATATTTCAAAAAAAGAAAAACCAACAAATCTATCTGTACCATATTTGCAGTAGGTGTGACTATGTAATACCCTCTATAATACAGTAAAGTAATAACATACTGATTGTAAAATAATAATTTTCCATGGTTGAAAAGTGTGTAAAAATAAGAACAAAATAAGAACATTTTGAACCTGAAATCAGCCAAAAAAAACAAAAAAAAACACTGAGTCTGGGCAAAATTTTACTGGTTCATTAAAAAAAAAAAGTGTAGTTGAAAATGAGTAATACTCTTCAGCATGAAAGTTTTTTTTACATTTTTCATGTATGTGTCATGGATTAGTTATCATATATTTTGTATCCTGATAAAAAAAAAATGGGAGCTTTATATTAATATTCTCAAAGAATTTCATCTGGTAATAATTTTCCTACTATTTTAATATCATGAATATTAAAATGACTGATTTATTTTCATCCGCTCACAAAATGTTTCACCACGTCTGATACTGCACTTTATTGGCCGTGCAATCATGTGCGGAAGAAATTACATCTGTTAATCCTGAGATTGAAATAGTTGAGCCTGCGCTTGACCCCCTGCTGTGAACAGTGTCATTTGACATTGACCTCCGCTAGGAAGTTACTTAATTCCTTGAGGGTGTACAGCCTAATCCTCTCCACCCAGCAATCTCAATTTTTCAGTCCTCTGGAAGAGTCGAGTTGTGGACAAAAATAAACATGCAGGGAATGTACCGGCAGATGCTGTTATGATTAGCCGCGGCAAAATCCCTTAACGATGGTACAGCAATTATCCCCAGTGTCTGAATGATTAGCAATAAGCGCTTCCAAATGGAAAAACAATCTCGACTGAAATGCAGAATATAAATTTTTTTTTTTTTTTTTGGTTCTGATATGATCTTCTGAAAAGGTTGTGCAGTGCAGTTGGTTCGTGAAGAGCTTTTAGCTGATTCAGGATGCAACTCATTTTCCTTTGCTGATGGACAAAGATTTCCAGAACAAGTTGGGGACCAGTGCGGGAGACCTTCGCCTCTAATGGAATTTTGTAACTATATTTTTTGTTTAATTGAATTTTATAATAAAAATAACAACTTTATTTTAAAAGAAATTGTATCACCATAATGGTGTTTCTTCACAAGGCCCTTTTCGCAGGAAGATACAAAGAAAATGAAGAAACTTGAATACAAAAATGAAGAAACTTCAAAACAAAAATCTGTATTATTGCTTGCATACCAGATCAATAAAAGAAACAGGTAGAATTAGCAGAACCCTGTACAACACTGAAAAAAATAGCTACAATTAGTAGCAAAAATTTCAGAAAAATATTACATTTTATTTAATAAACACATCAGAAATACAAATAAAAAATACATAGAGACTCCAAACTATAAGAACTATTTTTGAGTTGAAAAAAAAAATTTAAATTAAGATGACTTCCAAAAAAAGTTTGAGCTAAGACTTTTAGGATTAGCGGACGTGAGGAAGTCTTTGTACACCTGATGTCACCTGGATTCATCTGATGTTGTGGACTGTCAAGAGTTGATGACAGTGACCTGGAAGTCACCTTCTTGTCTCCATATCTTCACCCTTTAACCTTTGTTTCCAGCTTTTTAAATCACACAATCTTCAGATGTGACACTGTCCTATATTGGTCAATGTCAGTTCAAATATCACGCGTCGTGTTTCTGAAACACTGAATTATCCGCTAATCATTTAATAAAATTCCAGCGGAAATTGGCCTGACGCATTCCGACTAAAAATTATTGCAATTAAAATGTGATAATTATTGTATATATGTTTTCAGAATGCAATGTTTGACCCGGTTTTAACCGATGTCAACACTTAATTATGATCTGTACAATGCACAAGCCTAGAAAACTGTTTTATTTGTTTACAAATTCTTAAGCGCTGTTCATGCTATCAAAATTTATTTTACAAAAACATGACATCACATCATGAACATATATAGGCACATCATGACCATATATAGGCACATAATGGGGTTGGACATCTTTTATAACTTGGCATTTAGTGCTTTATCATACTGTATATGGTACAGATAATTTTCTGTTTTGCTTCCTCCATTAGATGAGATTTTTTATACCTTGTTTTGTGAGCTTATGAAAATAAAATTTTGTTATAAAAATAAAAGTTTGTTATTTAGTAAATGGTTTCACCAAAAACATCCAGACAGAGGAGAAAATAAAAATAAAATGTTATTAGTGAATGTAAACAGTGTAGTAATGGGATGGTTAAAATTTGCTTTAAATTTACATAATTAGGAAGAAATATACATATCTTGTTTTTGTAAAATTCAAGGCAGCGGCGGGCATAATAAAAATAAGGAAAAACTTTTATTTTTTTCTGAAATTTTCTATTTTTTGTGGCGGTGGTTGCGCTAATTGGCCAAAAATAACATTTTATTTTAATTTGAAATCATTATTGGTAAGCGGCGGGTTCACTAAAGTATAAAAAAAATGTTTTGCCTAAATGACAATACAGAATTAACTGTATGTAAGAATATTAAATAATAAAAAAATATATTTTTACAAAGCAATGCAAACACAAACTGAAACACCACCATAGTTCAATGGATTCTATACACTATAGGTAGGCCTACAGTAAACAGAACAGATTGACCTAAACATGATATAGTCAGATATGTATAAAAGTTTGATGAGACCTAAGGGCACATAGAAAAAATTATTAGATTATCATTCTTATTTTTAAAAAAGAAGTGATTTTATTGTTTTTGAAGAAAATGTATTTCCAGTCACAAAATTACATTGTTTTTTTTATGCTGTTGAAATAAATGATGCAACAACAATTTCTTTTTTTTATTCTCGCATCAATATTTCCCAAGTTTTTGATGCGGGCAGAAGTGATAATTTAACAATTATTTCATTGCCCCCCCCTAACCAGAAATTGAATAAGTATAAAATTTTAGTTTTTGAATAAAGTTTAATATATACATTTAATACATACATATATATGTAAATATATAACAGGCTCGTAACCGGGGAGGGGAAGATTTGGGAGTTCTGGCAACCCCCTTTTTGACCAGGTTATTACTGCATTAGTATTCTATCATAACTTTGTTTATTGAAGAAACACGTCCTGAGTTAAATTTGGCCTATAGGAAATCTCCCTTCCCATGAACCTGGTTTATGGGTCTGATATAACCTATATATTATATAATATAAATATAGGCTCCCAGCTAACAATAGTACGTTATAAAAAACGTTATATTAACATTACAGGTTGGTGTTCAAAACGCTTTTTTGTAGAACCGTAAGTACGTACTTATAGCCTAATTTCAAAACGTAATGTTGAACGCTCCTACAATGTTGTGTGAATGTTATTTTGTGACAGACAAAGCCGCAACGTTTGTGAAAGTTATAGGAATGTTTTGTGTTTATAGGCCTATTTAAAAAAAAAGATATGTATTATGTTATTGTAATCACTCCCATCAAATAACAAGCAGTAATATTTTCTCAGTTATTTTTATTTAATTGAATCTCATCCAACACTGACTGCAATAACAGGATGGAAGGATATGAGCATTTAGATTATCTGTGCTTTGAATACTCTACACTGAGGCAACCAAAGGTGTTTTAGTAATGACAAAAAAAAAGTGATTTACAAGATACAAGATACAAATTTCTTTATTGTCCAAAAATTGGAAATAACAATGCTCATGACTACCAATATAAATCATCTTAAATACTTCTATCATCTCAAATCCCAGCTGGACAGAACGAGTACTTGTAAACCACTATTAGACTTCCAATATACAATATAAAATATATTTAAAAAAATTAATAATACAGTAAAACGAACGAAATAAAATGACATCAAAGTATTCATTTATTTATTATTATTATAATAATAACAATAGTAATTATTATCGTTATAAAAACTCTAAAAAATAGCTAAATAACAGGTGATGAACCCATGGCAGAGGGATGTAATCGTACATAGGCTTAATGGTCCATGCATTCCATGTTTGTTTGTATACAAAATATGAACTACCACTGCGGAAAATGGGTTAAACTCATCATCAGCACAAAAATTGGAGATTATTTTCTTATACTTATAGTTAATTTCAGGCTAGCCTTACTGGCTACCACTTCATCCTTGGGGGCGCCGCAATCTTGGCTTATAATTTCATCTCTGGCCTACCACTGTTCAACACACCAATACGAGATAGAGAAGGTTGGTTACTGAACCTGGGTTAAGTTCCCCTCCATGATTTTGATTGACACGTTTGGCGAGAGTGTGAAATTACATCGGGCTCGGAGTCTTCCGGTCTGTCATAAGCTGATGGAGTATGTAGTAACATGAATAACTGATCAAAAGTTACTTCCACAACTCCGAAGCTGACACTAATTGGAAAAACAACAAGGGATCTGTCAACTCCATTATGATAATTGTATCTCACTCCATCTATGGATCATTAGCTCCTTGCACCACTCAAATGCATGGTTCGAGTAATCAGAATTAATAAGAATAAATACCTTTGCTTTAGTGTTAATGAGACTGTACCAAGAATCCTGGCTAGCACTTGTCAATTTTAATCTTGAGAAAAAAAACTTAGCAAAACGCACGTTCTGTTGACATTGGCTGCTTGTGATTAATCGTCATTACCGTAATCATTAGATAGGCCTAGAACAAAAACACAAATATCAACCAAAATATAAATTGAATGAATGGTAACTTTGAGCAGGGAATTTTTGCTTTTGGAAGCCCCTTAATATTTTTGGATAAGGTCTCTAGCTGGAGTATGTATATTATACTATAATTTGAGCATTCTTTTTGCCACTATCTGGATCAGCCACTGTAAACCAATGAGGTGTCTTCACCACAACAGAGAAAAAAGTTTGAACCTAGAAAATGAAATAGGTTATTATTGTGTATTTCTACTTAATCTGAAATCCATGTTATTCACATTAATGTTGTGTCGCCTGGCAAGGTAACATATTATATTACAAAGAATCATTAATATTTTCTTTTCTACAATCGGTTCATTTATTCCAACGTGAAAAAAAAAAAAAATTCATTTATTCCAATGTGAAAAAAAAAAAAAAAAAAAAAAAAGAAGCAAGAAACCTTTGTTGTATACAATCGTGTCCCCTGGCAAGACAATATATTTATTTTACAAAGAATCATAATGTTTTCTATTCCATGATCATTTATTCCAGAATAAAAACAAAAAAACAAAACAAAAAACAATCAATAATACAGGCATGTACCTAGAAAAGGACGAATTCTGTATCTGAAAAATCAATGTTATTTACATTAATATTGTGTCCTCTGGTAAGGCAATGTATTTCTTTAACAATGCAAAGTGTTTTCTTTTCTACTACAGGTTCATTCATTCCAGAATAAAAAAAATCCAAATAAAAAATTAAACAAGCGAAAAACCATATTAAAGCGAACGTGACAAGAAGCAAACAAAAAAAAAAACCAACAAAAAAATACAAGCGTCAATCTGAAAATGGACAAATGTTGCAACTAAAAATCACTGTTAGGCCAAATATAAACAATTACTGGTTTCTCGTCTCTTCGCGCATCCATTTTCTCACCCTCACTAATTTTTTTTTCCCACCTTATGAAATGTACGAAAATCTGGCTAACTCACATCAGTAAAAATTCTTCTCTTAATCGTTCTTGGTTGGGGATACATATGGTATGAATTATGTCTTCTTTTATTTGCTTTCAATGTGTCTCCTTGGTAAAAGTGAGAAAGTAGTAGTTGTTTCCCTTCACCATCTTGGATTTGCCATCTCGGAGCAAAAAAGAAAGCCCTTATTCTCCTTTTTACAAATTATTTAAGAGGAGAAACTACTTTTTTTTCTACTTGGCCTCATTTATAACTGGGCCTTCATTTACATTAATATTGTTTCCCCTTCAAAGCAATGTATTTCTTTAAAAAAAAAAAACGTAAGTGATTGTTTTTACTATAGCTTTAGCCATTCCAGAATAGAAAAAAAATCAAAATATAAAAAATGAAATAAGTGAAAAAACATATAAAAGCGAACGTGACAAGTTTGCTTGACAATTTCAAGTTCAGATTAATCGCTTATCAGACTGATTTATACAATGTGCTGTTGCACCAAATTAAAGCACTTGCAATAAATTATTCTTGGAATTATGCAAATGAGTTACACCTGTGTGTGTGTGTGGGTGTGTGTGTATGGGTGAATTTGGCATTCATTTACAAGTTTGGAAAAAAATTTCTGGCACCCAGATTAATAAAATTAATATTGTTTTAATGTTTCATAATCTTGAAGACTATTTTAGAAGGTGCCATAATGATTTGTATGCCTTTAAACACACAATATATGGATAATATGACACCATCATGCCTATATATTTATGAAATATGACATCATCATGCTTATGTATTGATGTGATATAACATCACTTGATAATTGGCTAAAAATTTAAGGCAGAGTGTTTTCCACACTATTATTAATCCTATAGGCAACTTATTTTTGTCTCAAGTATTTGTTAAATTTCCTTTAATTGTTTTGTATTGACTTGTTTAGACTTTTTTAATACCATGCATCACAAACTTATTTTATCACAGATCGTCAGAAGAGGAAGGGAAAAAAATAAAAATAAAATCTTGTTTTCTTATTTAGCAAACAGTTTTGCAAAAAACATCCAGACGGAGGAGAAAATAAAAATAAAATTTTATTGGTGAATGTGAATAGTGTAGTAATAGGATGGTTAAATGCTTTAAATTTAATAATTAGGAAGAAATATATATATCTTATTTTTGGAGATTTCAAGGCAGCGGCGGGCGCGATAAATATAAAGGAAAGTTTTAATTTTTTTCTTGAAATTTCCATTTTTCATTGCAGCGGGTGCGCTAATTGGCCAAAATTTTAAATTTCATTCTTTATTTGAAATTATCATTATTACATATATAATTATATATATATAATTATGTAAATGATCTACATACAAATACAATTTGATAGTGTGAACAGAGCTATATATAGTCATGATGTGCCTATATATGGTCATGATGTGATGTCATCATGACCATATTTAGGCATGTCACATGTTTTTGTCAAATACAATTTGATAGTCTGGACAGATCTTTCGATAAGAACCCATAATATCCTGTGTTCCTTTTCCAAAGTCGACACCCTGATCATTTAATTCATATAATACTTAAAGTGAACATGTCCGATGTGCACCATATCTCTCCCCTGGGGGAAGTATTAATAGTCATTACGGCAATGTATTACAGACGAATACTGTGCATTACAATCCAACAACATCCTATTCAAGTTATACTCCTTGACTTGGATTATGATTTGATTTCATTTAAAAAGAGGAAAAAAAATACATAAAAACACAATGTTAAACTTTGTTTTATTATTCTTATTTTTTGGTTTTTTATTTATTTATTTTTTATTTATTTTTTGCGGCCCACCCTCCTCCGCCTAAATCAGGGGCGGATCCAGAGATGTCCAAAAGGGGGGGGGGGCTCAAAGGGGGGGCCAAAAATTTGGGCCAATCGAGACAACAATGTCCTAGGGGATCCGGGGGCATGCCCCCGCGAAATTTTTGTGTTCTAGACGCCCGAAAATAACATTTGAGGCGTTGTGGGCTATCATTTTTTTCTTTTTCTTTCTTTTTTCTTTTTTTTACCTTCCAAAAGGGGGGGGGGGGGGCGATTTTAGCGATTAACATTGTCATTTTATAGTATATTTTATTCCATTATATTTAGTGAACATACACCCGTTTGTATCAGCCGTACTCACTTAAGTGATACGTTCCACTTACCTTAACATGTGAGGTACTGGGGTTGGTCCTGATATTTTCAGGAGGGGATGCACGAATACAAGCTAAAAGTTGATGGACGTATACATTCCTTATTGTGTCGTATTGACTTATTTTAATGATTAACATGGTCAGGAGTTTTATTCCATTATTTAGAGAATACATACGTGTTTGTATAAGCCGTGAATACTGAAGTGGTACGTTCCACTTACCTATATTCTGCTGCTCCTTTTTGCTGTAGGCCTACTGTACTTTTTTCCAAAGACATTTTTTTCTAGGGCCTTTTCACAATGACATAAATGAAAAAGCAATGATGAGGTACCAGCAACGAGTCCAAAGACCTTGCCAATTGCGTGACGCAATCTATCTCAATTCCAGCAATTCTGAAACTGAGCCTACCATCCGCTTTAAGCAAATTGTATTGACATTTAAATCACATTTTGCTGTTATTTCATTGTGAAAATGTCCAAAAAATTATGATCACGACCCACCCAGAAAAAATCCTGGATACACCCCTGAGAACTTTATAAAAACACTGAGCCTGAAATTGCTTAAAAATTAAGAACAATTTGAGGCTGAGAAAATTAAGAAAAATTTGAGGCTGAAGAAAAAAAAAAAAAAAAAAAAACCCAACAATTCAGAAGTTCTATCAGTGAACAACAGAAAATACTGGGCTAAGCTTGCACTGAAACTTTCCCCTCAAAACAGCCATTCTCATACAGCCAACAACAGGGTCACTGATTGTACGTTAAGGTGTAAAACAAGGATATTTTGAGCCTGAAATTGGCAAAAAAACATAAGAACACCGAGCCTGGGCAAAATTTTACTGAACACGGAAATAAAAACAAAACATCACCAAGCTGGCACTGAGTCATATTTTTGTCATTGTTACTTTTTTTAAAATCAAAATTGTGTAATTTCAGTAAATAATTAAGTTGCATATTTATATTAATCAACATCATCGGATCTTCTAAATTAAATATACTGGTAATAAAATTATGATAGCTATCTATGCCAAGAGAGAGAGAGTGAAAAATATTAAGTTAACAATTTTAGCCACGAAGGACTGAAGTCTTCACCAGTTTCCGGTCCTTACCTGTACCATATTTGTTTACAGATGTGTTATGAATTACAGTGATTGAGCACAGGTGAAGCTAGCCATAGCTGTTAATTACCTGACATGCTTACAGCACTGACTGAGCAATTGCATCAGTATTGTACACTTCCACCTGTCTCGGTGATACTTAAAACACTAAAGGTCACATTCTTCCTTACCATGAGAACATCATTAAGTTTCAATGCTTAACATTAACTCATTTCCGATTTTAATATGTGACATTGAATGTACACCAAATATTAAGGCTTACGGCTATAAGGTAGAGTATCTGAAAGTTACTCCAAGCCAACATTGTGTAATACAATGTACTGTACACCTGATGGTTATTTCAACCTGTCCAACCATGAAGCCTCTGTGGTCTAATGGTTATGACGCTCGCCTTGACAGCAAGAGGCTACAGGTTTGAATCCTGTCGGAGGCATTTTATTACACAATGTATTTATAGGACGACATTCAATAGTGATTCTACGTGATTAGGCCTATATAAAATGGAGAACTTCAACATGAAACACCAAGTCTACCATATACAGGTGTTTTGATTATAATGTTAATAAAACTTTATTATTTTATATATGTCACGCAATATCGTCTCTGTTGTACTGATTTTCAAAGTGGTAAAGTTTTAAAAAAATATAGAAATTTCCTTGTTTTTTAATCTGCAAGGACAAATAAATTTATTTATCTTATTAAATATATAGAACTGATTAACTATATACACACACATATATAAACCAAGCAAGACAATTGA